TCTTCACAACTTCAATCTTTATAAAATCTCTTCTTAATTTTTAAATATATTTATTTTTTTAATCTTTTTTAAATACTTCTAATTATTTAAACATGATTTATTTTTACTTAAACCTTTTTTAGGCATACATATTAAAATTTTAAAATTTCGTATGATTTTACTACTTAATTTAAGTTTTAAAGACATTCTTTAAGGTTTTATTAGGATTCATTAAGGTTTAATGAAACTCTAATAAAATTCTCAAATTAATCCTAATCAATCATAATCTGTTCTTTTAATCAGTTTAAAACTCGAATACTTATTAATTTAATTAATAATCTAAATATTAAATTTATATGTATCTCATTCTTATAATTAAAAACTTAGATCATAAGACTTGAAGAAAATTCAATATACAAATTGAAAGAAAAATCTCATAATCTACGCATGAGTTATCTATCTTCTTTTTCTAATATTAATGTCAATTTTTTAGAATTGATAGTTCTTTCTTGTATTTTTCCTTTTCTCTAAAAACTTAAAAATACAAAAAATAAAATAAAATAAAATAAAATAATTAAACTAATAGGTTGCTTAAAATTAAACAAATCATCACTAATCTTTAAAATCCAATTTTTAAAATTCTAAACTACTTAAATTTTATTTAATTATGACTTAAATATTTAATTTAGTTTATTTTTATACTACAAATTCAACATAATATTTTTTAAAAATCCAAAAATTTGCACATATTAGTTTGCTTTAAAACTTATAAAACTCTCTAAAATATAAATCATTTTTTTTCACAAACTTAGAGTCATTCAAAACAACCTTGACATTGCAAAACTCTTGCAAAGTTTTTAAATATTCCAATCACCTAAAACTATCAATTAAAATATGAAAGAATAGCTTTCATATCAACATATATGTGTGGTACTTTATTCATAAACTTTATTCATACATATATGTGTGGTACTTGCAATAAACTTGTTTAATACTTATAGAAGACTATTTTTAAATCAAGGCTAAAAACCAAACTTCAATGCACAAAATAATAATGTATTTTTTACTATCTCCATGATGATTATTCTTTACTACCTTCATAAATTTTATCAAAGTGTTTTAAAATAATTTTTTATTATCTATTTTTAAATAAGCATCTCTATAATATTATATTTTTTAATTTTTAATTTTTTTTATCCAATAGCCATATTACAACATAAGAATGCACTCATGTTGTACTTGCAAAAAATCCCACTCATCACTCTTGAAAAAACAAAATTTCATTCGACTTCATACCTTGTTAAAACTTGCCATCTACTGCATTTGCAAAGATCCTACTATTATTTTCTTAAAAAAAAGGTTTATTGCAAGTACCATATATATATGTTTTAAGAAGCGATGATGTAAGATAGAAGTTTATACTTATTATAAGAGAAAAACAAGAAGAAAAGTGAGATTTTAAATGCAACTTGTAGAGGCCCAAAAAATAGAAGAGATTTATAACATCATCACAAATTTTAAGATGGAGGAGAAAGAAAAGAGGGAAGAAGATGTTGAAGGATTATTGATAGATGCCAATTCAACAATCGAAGAATGTTGTATTAATATTATTTTATAGAAATCATGTAGTCTTAAATTTTATATTTTCATTATATAAGAAAACTATGTATATATATATATATAAATATATCTATATATAAGAAATTTTTCCTAAAATAGTTAAATATTATTTTTATATATTTTTAAATTATATTTATATTTATAATATATATATATATTCTAATTTTTTTAGAATTATAGAAATAATTTTAAATTATTATTTAAATTTATTTATTTATTAATATTTAGATTTATTTATAAAATATTATATTTTATTTCATTTTATTTAAATAATTTTGAGTTACTTTTTTATAGAAGCATATATATAAATTTTTGCATAAGATATAATACATTAAAATGTTTTATAAATATTAGACTTTATTTTACTTTTTATTCAGGAATATTTTTTAAAATTTAAACTTCATTACTAGACTTAAAAAATAAATATTTTTTTATAAACTATTTTTATAATGATGATATTATACAAATAGTGCTTTTATTCTACTTAGAATTAATACTATTTATATAAAATTCAGGTATTTTATATCGAAAATTGTCTTAAATTATGATCAAATCTATTAGAACATGTAAATGTTTCAATTTATATTTAATGTTGCATATTTTCTTGGAAAATAATAAGACTTTCAAAACTTTATTTTATGATATGTAATTTTTAATCTTCTTATACACTAATACTTTTGAAGTTAGTTCTTACCTTTTTTAACTTTTTTAAAGTCTTGTTCTTCTTGCAACAAATGCCTATATTACTTAAGTCAATACAAGTAAATAGTAGTAAGTAGAAACAATATTTAACATATAATATCTTCTTTAAAAAGCTTCAAGAAATTTTAATAGGTGTAGTTTATATATTCAAACTTTTATAGATATGCCATGTCGCTACTAAATCTTATCCTATAAATTTTTACTTTTAGAAAATTACATTGGAAGTAATCTATAAATTGATATTTATACTACAAGCTTTTTTGTCTATTAAAAGCATCCATAAGACCTTCTTGGTAGCTAACATATATAAAGATAAAACTAAGACCATCTTCAATCTTAATAATATTCTTTTTTTATTCTAATCTAGATTTAAAACTTTCTAATTTTTATTTGATTAGTTATAAAAAAACTAGTTTCTTTTTATTCTATATTTATTCTATATTTATTTATTTTATCTCTTTTTATGTTATAAGAGTATATTTTCTTATCAAATTTTTAATTTCATTTATATCTTTGATAATTTTATAATATATTTTTAATTTTTTAAAAAATAATAAATATATTTTTACTATTTAATATTAGGTTTGAATATTTAATTGATGATAAAAATTTATAAAAATGTATTCATGATATAATTATTTGAACTAAATTATAAAACTATTAAAAATTAAGATGACTTTTAAGTTATTATATATATTCCATTATTTTTAATCTTTCTTTTATCATTACAATATAATACATCTTTATATCAATATATAGTTATTGTATATTTTGCTAAAATCTATTTGATTATCTACTCTTTTTTTGAATTACAACTTTGTTTTGTTTAAATACTTTTGTTGATATTCTTTCTATATATTGTCTCTATTTATTTTCAAATACTTTCAAATCTAATTCTAAATAATGATATTTATTCTACCATAGTATTATTCATGTATATAATTAATTTCTATTCTTTTTTTGCTTGATCTAATTGATTAAATTTTGATAAAATAAAATAAAATAAATTAATTATTTTAAATTTTTTATTTTAACATATAAAAATTTATATATATATATATATATATATATATATATACAAAATATATTTGTCTATTTATTTATCTATAAAAAATAATTGATTTTAATGATGTGTAAAATTAGTTATAAAGTAAGTTATATGGAGAAGAATATATCTACATACAAGAAAAGAAGTCTCTTGCTACGACTTTGTCACGCGGTTGCCGCTTTTCAATATGCCATCCAACACATTTCTAGCCTTGTTCCATGTTCCAACCTTATCATCTCCCATCCTCATTCGTAGCTTCCAACTTCTCTATTCCTCCTATTTTCCAACCTCCTTATTCCCTTTGTTCCTCTATTCCTTTATTTATACTACAACATCATGCTAGATTGATAAAATTTTCTACAAGGAATTCTATTAGAACTTATTGGTTTTATTAGGCTCCATTTACACTACAATTCCATGCTAGACAAAACAACTCCCTTCATATAGTTTCTCTGATCACATAAGGACTGCTTTCACACCACAACGTCATACTTAACATAGTCTATGTTCATATTCAAGGAACAATAAATTTTATATATAGTATATATACTATATATACAATAAAAAATATAAAGAAAAATATATTAATATAAATTTATAATTAAATAAAATTACAAATAATAGAACCAAAAAATAATCAAATGAATAATTGTTTCATTTAGCTTGCTAAATGGGCTCCTTTTCGTATATATATAATGCTTAAAAGTTTTAATACATGGTAATTAAGTTATGTCCAAAATATAGTTAGAAGTAGTTAAAACTTTTATCTTACAATTGGCATAACTTTAAGAATACGTGGACATATTGCATATAACCAAAGTGTGTTACTAAGTAATAAACCTTAATCAACATTTTACTAGAAAAGATTTTTTGACAATCAATTCAAAAAAAATATATCTTAGATACTTCCAAAATATTAGTTGTATGCTTTTAAAAATCTAAAAGAGACAACTTTAACTTGAATAAAGTTGAAAAAAATAATAGTTGTCTAAAAACTAAGACAAAATATCCTATGAATAGATAAAAGATGATACAAAGTAGAGAAGGTTGTCACTCCTTATGCAATTTGTTGGCGCTTTCCAAAACAAACCTCTCCACTTGGCTTGAAGATGATTGTTGCCTAATAGACTTTCTTCTATAAGCTGAGTTCCTAACTACATGGCTATGTGTTTAGAATGTTGTCTGCTTGATTGTGAACTGTCAAGAAGGCAATGGTTAAAGAATAGAATTTTTTATTTCATAAAGGATGCTCATTCTAAGAAAGAACTGGACATATAGAAGAATGTGAGTAATTGTTGGGGGTTTTTACCAACGTCTAGGTCATGTGCTCAAAAGAAGCAGGTACAATGTGGGGAAAGTAAACCTCCCGTTACTTTCCCATTTCACACTGTTCAGACACATGTTCGTCCCACCCTTGAAGTTGGTTGCTTTAGTGGCTCTCCAGTCAGAGAACCAAAACAGGTGAGCAAGTTTGAAACTTTAGAACCTGGTCAAACACTTAGAACTGTATCAACAATTTGTCAACACCCTTCTTCGTTCCAGCTGCCGACAGGTGTGACCGCGTCTAGCTTTCCGGTAGCAGCTGCAACAGTGACCATCGACGTTGTTGCTCTGGCTTATCAGTATGGCCAAGGATCTGACTCAACACCGTTTCTCAGGTTGGCAATAGCTCAGGAAGTTACGTGCATGCGAGAGATGTGCAACCCATCTGTGTCAATAGAGCTTCGGGTTGATCGCAGACTAGACCTGGTCGTAAAGTAAGTTGCTGATTTTCGCACGCAATGGGTGATACAGTGTGGTTATGTTGCGAAAAGTGCGCCGAGAGTTTCCATCTTCATACATGGCTACTACCAGGCCGATACTGTAGTTCGAACAGATTTTCACAATTGAAACTTAAGGTGAACTGATCGAACAACTCTTGTTCGAAGTGTATATATTGAATTCTGCTATGCGAAAAAAGTGACCCTCTTATGTTAAAGAAACCTTACAGGTAACTTTACGATGCCTTAGTCATGTTCTGTTTTCTGCACAATCTCATGCATGGTTTGGTTGTAGACTCACGTGCAGCTCGTGGTGTTGTTCATGTTCGGGTCTGACGCTGTATGATCTTTGGCTTGAACAAGTTAAGTGCGTTTACCAATGTTTTGACGGTGTCATGGATCTTCACAAAGGCTTAGACATTCAGATCGCGTTCTTCATCTCACGTTTCAATGAGTTGGTTGGAGGAGAGTGCTGGAAACAGCAACAGAAAAGGGGTGGCACGAGAAATTGATGCTTTAAGTTGAATGATAAACGCATTCGGAGCTTTGTGGGTACAGCAAAACTTTGCGTGCTTTTTGGGTGCGACAGATGTTGACGTTCAGAATTCTCAACAGTATGCTTAGAGCTAGAATAGCGGGAGAGGTGTTAGACACTTCCTATACTTCTGAAAGGTCAACAGTCAGATCGTTAAAATAAGAAACGTTACATTAAGAACATGCTACTGTTTAGCATTAAGTAAAGCAGAGTGGTTTCCACGATGAGAGGGGGAAACAACAATAGAGGTTATGATCAGACTTCCGACTATGACAAGGGTGTGTTTTGCTGACAGGTAGGATGATTTTGGAGAATCCGCTGCCATCTTCACAAGGCCTGCCCTCTCAAACTGTTCGTCAGGATTGTGGTGCTCCATGCCCTGAAGCTGTACAGGCTCCCGGAGTGTTACGCCTGCTCAGACCGCAGAAGGAGAGCCTCATGTCAAGTAAGGGGACCCCGCGGTCAACTTCTGGGACTGCTCCCAGGAAGCATTCTTCCTGAGGGCTTCATGTGGTCATCCATCAGCCGGCAGGTCCGGCGACACCTAGCAAGGTGCAATCTACACGAAACGATGTTAAGCAAGGTCAGCAGGTGGAGCAATACCAATACCGCAAAGTAAAGAAAGTAACGATTCAAACGGGTGGCTCCAAGAATGGGTACTCGGTTACAATCCAGCCTTCTACATGTCTCTTATCCTTGTGCAAGTTCAAGATGCTAAATGTTTTTCAGTTGGGGATAATTCAAAAAAGTTTGATTCATGCAGTTTCAATTGTGTGCGTACCTGTCAACAGTCCTGATTATCCTTCTTTTCGGGGATGTGAAATTCCATGTGAAGTTCCCATCAGTAGCTTAGGTGATTACTTTTCATTCGCAACTTAATGGATCAAATTTCCTTGCAGATCGAGAGTGTGAGATTATGGAGGACGTTGGGATTATTAAAATGAAAGCGCATTCTGGTTCTAGCTCTAAAACAAGAAAAATTTAGTAACTAGTGTGTTACTAGTAAGAAATAAGAACTTCTTATTGATATATAAGATTTTACTTGTAATTAAGTGTCATTGTTTTCCCGATATTCTTGGCGTATTCTGTGAAACCAATAGGTTATGGCCCACGATTCGTCGTTCTGTAAATTTTTTTATTTTTATTTTTTATTTTTTTTATTTAGAGTGCTAGATCAGAGTGCTAGATCTTGATTAATTCGGCGGTTTACAACCGATTTAGTTATTTTGTTTTGTTTTCGAGCAATTGACTGCCTCAGAAATAATATCAGAGTGATTGACTTCTTTAAGAGCAATTGATCAAGCGATTAGAGCAATTGAGCGGCTGCACCAATATATTTTTTAAGTTTTTCAATTGCAGTTTTTGGAAAATTCGCAGTGCTTATTTTTCCACTCAAAAATTCTTGTTCTTTCGATCATTTTCTTGAACTTCTTGTTTTACACGCATTACATTTTTCAACTTTCCACTCATTTTCAGTTTCTTACAATTTGATCCCACATTGAAATTTTATCACAATGTCCATCAATAAAGATCTAATTAAAATTCAGCATTTCAATGGTTCCAAATTTCACATATGGAAGTGGCAGATCAAGAATCTATTCCAAGCAAAAGGGTACATCACTCAAACTTCTTAGAAATGAATGCCCAAACGATTTGGATTACAATCAAGATAAAATACACAAGCTCCATCTGCAAAATCTTCAGATTCTAGCACTTCTCAAATATTCAGAAGCTTCTTATTCAAAATCTAAAAATTATCATTCAAATGATTTATATCAAGAACAATATTATAAACCAGATCGAAATGGATTAAATTACAATTTTAATATTATATGAGCTTATAATACTTGAGAATTATAATTCTAATATTACTCAAGATTATAATACTTAAAAATTATAGAAGCATGGAAAGTTGATAGTTGCACAATAGAACATATGATTGACAAGCTTCATTGATTCATCAATTATAAATCTCTATCAGCAAATGCAATATGGCCAATTAAAATACCTACAAGACATAAATGTTTTGTGATGGAAATAGGTGATATCAAGATTTTAAGTCAATTACCATATTTAAATGAAATCCATCTTCTACAACAAATTGTTTATATTCTAAGTTTTGGAAGAAATCTTTTTAGTCTAACAAAGGTTGCAAGACAATATAAAATATTTACTCTTTATAAGAATTCAACATGTGAGCTTATTTAAAATGCTATCTTAGTAAAATAATCTACTATCACGAATATAGAATCATATAAATCTGAGAGTAAAAGATTTGTGATAAAATCTATAGAAACAAAAGACCATAGTTGTTTTAGAGTAGGTAATGGCTAAAGAAGTCCATAAGATTGATGGCAAGGAGTTTTGGATCTTGAACAAATATCACATGATTGTACAAAGTCTTTGACTGCCTTCTACATTTGAGGCAACCAAAAATCTCTCAATATTAGCTCCTAAGTCATATTGTATCTAAAATATCCATCTGCTAAAAAGTCATGATAAGTTTGAAGAATATATAATTATGCTCCACCTTTTTGAATGTATAATCATCTTTCAAAATAAAGTAGGTTATTCTTGAACTCGAACTTGAAAATATCAAAAGATTCAAAAGAATTATTCTTGATATCATAAACAAGAGGATCAAAAAACATACTTGATTGAATTTGTTTGATAAAGATTGAATCAATAGTCAATATTGATTATATTGCTCAAATATAGAAATGCTTTGACTTTAAGAGAGTTATTCTTTGTTAATCAAAAGATATATTTTTTTTCTTTTGATATAAAAAATGAATGTTTTAAATATGGTGTACAAAAAAACTTATTTTTTGGATCAATAAGTAAGCTTGAAATCAAATCTTGATAAAGACATATTCCAATGAATTTGGCAACAATTAAAAATACATGTAGAAATGAAATATTCAAAGTTCTTGTGATTTGTATATATGGTAATTAGATTCAAGATGCCTTCTAAATAATGATGTCATTCTTGAAATGAATCCCCAATTCCAAGAAGGTTTTTATCGTGGATTTTATAATTAATCTTATTTGCAAAAAAAATTCTAAAATAAAAAGCTACTTAATGGAGTTTGTCATCTGCTCCAATTTGTGATAATACTTCACCTAAACAAAGTTTGATGCATTTATTTCCATAAAAGATGCCTTTGAAAAATCAACATAATATGAGATTGGCACAGAATTAAATTTTTTTTTTAAAGCATCAAATAATATTTCAGCTTCTTTATTTCACTTAAGTTTGTCTTTACAAGTCAAATGTATAAATAAAGCTACAACTTGAAAAAAAATCTTGATGAAGATCCAATAGTAATTGGCAAAGTTCCAAAAACATTGCATGTCTCTTATTATTCTTAAAATATTTCAATCCATCTTAGTCTAGACCTTCTTTGGATCCATTATTAGCCCTTCATTAGAAATGATGTATCCTAAGAAGTCAACTTGAGTAGAGTAGAATAAATATGGATTTATATATCTATATTTATATCTATATTCTACATCTTTAAGTTTTTATAACACACAACAAACATCAACTTCATGCTCTTCTAAGTTTTTAGAACAGATTAAGATGTCATCTAAATAATAGATAATAAAATCATCAAGAAACTTGCAAAAGACATCATTCATTAGATGTTAAAAAGTAGTTGGTACATTCATGAATCCAAAAGGTATGATATTATATTTCAAATATAAAAACTTGGTTCAAAATGTAATTTTCCATTCATCTCTTTCTTTAATGTATACTAGATTAGATGCTTTTTATAGATCTATTTTTGTATAGATCTTTGCTTCATTTAGTTGATTAAAAATCTTAAAATCAAAGATAAAGAATACCTATTTTTTATATTGATCTTCTTGAATTCTTGATAGTCTACATACATTTGTAAAGATCCATCTTTTTTCTTCATAATAAGATAGGAGCCTTGCTTGGAGATTTAGAATGGCATATAAAATTTTTAGCTAAGTTATCATCAATGTACTCATTGAATGCAAGCAATTCGTTTTGTAATAGGCTATAGATTGGCCTAAATGGTGGTTGAGCTCTTCTGTGAATATCAATAGAACAATCATAAGAACAATGTTCTAGAAGAATATTTGCATTCTTCTTTTTAAAAATGTCTCAAAAATCTTAATATCAACTAGAAATACCATTTGATATCTTTTCACCATTAAAAATGGGCATAGCATATAAAATAGAAGATAATCCTTCTTTTGCGGTAGACATAAAAACTCTTGCACCTACCAATAAGGATTTGGATGTACTAGACTTAAGTATGTATTTTTACTTGACTAGTAGGATTTTGGATTAAAATATCAAAATAATTAAGGTTATAAAAAATCCAATCTATACGAAGATTATACTTTTCTAATCAAAATAATTTTAAAATAATTAGATTTGACAAAGATCTTACTACATTAAATATTACTATGCTATTATGATTTTTAATTACTACATCTAAAGGAATAGTTTTATGCATAATATCTCTAGAAGATAACAAACAATTATCTATAACTTCTACATTTACAAGTTTATTTTTTTTCACTAACAATACCTCTCATTTTTTGACAAAATCTTCATTTATAAAATAAGCTAAGATTCTTGAATCTAATAAAGCTACGACTTTGTAAATTTTTGGTCCTAAATAAACTTCTATTGTAAAACAAGATGAGGGGTTTGAGGAGAGAATATGACCTTTATTAGGAATTATGTAAGATTCTAGCTGCACGGTCACTATTATAGCTGAAGAAATTCATTTACTCACACATCCTTATCTTTGGCAACTATGCTTTTCATTTTGTAGTCGCGTTGTTTTTTTTGACAATGTTGAGTAGTTCATTTAATTTACCTATAATATAAGTATAGGCCTTCTTAATATTGTCGAGTCTTTTTCTACTTTGTAAGGGCTTTAAAATGTATTGTATCAATTTGCATTGGTTTTAGCCTTAATGAATGAGTTTTTAAAAATTTGAGAGCTGTCATCATTATTTGATTTCTTCTTCTTAAACCAAGTCTTTGTTCTTGACAACTTTCAAATAACCAATTGTCACATGTATTGGCTTGAACAATAATTTTTTCTAAAAATTTTACCTTTGATATTGTTAGTAATAAATCTTTAATATCATCCTTCAATTCATATCAAAATTGATTGATAAGAGCTTTTTCATTTCAATCTATGTCGCAAACAAGGTTTTAGAATTCAATAGCATATATGGTGGCAGACCTTGATCTTTGCTATAAAGATAAGAGTTTGGTCTTTTCTACTCTTTTTTTTATCACTATCTCCAATGTGGCTATAAACACTTCTAAGAATGAATTTAAATCATAAAGGAGTCATGAATCTTTTTCCATTTAAGATGCAAACCAAATAAAAACACTTTCTAATAGAAGTGCGCCTATGAATGCAACTTGAGTAAATCCATCAAGATATTGGAAGGAATGCAACTTTAGATAGAGCTTGATTTGTTGCCAAAATCCTCAAAATTTTGATCTTGTTCCATGAAACTTCTGGGGCATACTAATCCTTGTTCTTGTCATATTTGTAAAAGCAAAATTCCTTGGATTTGGTTGTGAGGTTCATCTACTTGCTTCCTTCAATTGTATAATTTTTTGCTATAGACTTTGAACTTCTTTTATAGGTATAGGAATAGTATATCCCTCATTCATATTAGAAATACATGAGATTTCTACTCTTAGAACATTGACAAGCTCATGAAGATCTGCAATAGTTGTAAATCCATTTTGACTTTTGTTAAGAGTAGCATCTATAATCTTTTCTTCTATAGACAATTGAAATAAATTTAAAAAGTTAAATTAGAAGAAAATAATCTATAACCTCTAATATCAAATAAAAATTTCTACATAGAAAGATAATCCATCAATACACTTTTGTGTCATTGAAAAGAAATAAAAAGTTACTCAAAGATCATATAATATTGAACTAGAATGGATATTCTCAAAAACAAGAAGACTAGAAAGGCTTGAAAGACGACTAAAGACTACAAAGCGGTTAATAAGAGTGAAGAAGGCTTCATTTTTGCTTCTATATATACTCTTAACTAAGAGCTACGTGGCAATGTCCTATGAGACCTCCAAAATGTATTGACTTTGTAAGACACATATCTTAACTTACAAGGCAAGTTTTTTATATAGACGCAATATAGTTAGCTTGTTCCAAAAGCTATTAATACATGGTTAACTTATTAACCAAGTTTCTAACCTACCAATCAATTAAAAATACATGTAAAGTCAAAATAATGTCTATGAAACTTTTAGAAAGCTTCTCTAGA